AGATTTTTGCAGTGCCAAACTGTGTCTCTGGTTTTCATCTTTGAAGGATAGAATGTCTGAGAAAAGCAGGAGACTAATTCTAGATTCTCAGAACCCACAGCAGCCACTTGAGTGGTGGCAGATAGGTTTCTGTGCAGTCATCTGTGCATTGTTTTTTTGACTGAAGATTTTACATAAGACAAAATATAGTCATGTGTCTCTCAGACTTTTGTCCCTCAGAATGGGGACTATTGTGGTTTGAATATAAGGTGTCTCCCCAAAAACTCAAGGGAAAATGTAGTAATTTTCAGAGGTGAAATGATTAGATCACTGGATCTAACCTAATCGTGGATTAGTCCACTTGATGGATAATTTGAAAAGACTAAGGCGGTTCTGGGTGGCAATTATAAGCTGATGGAGTGTGGATGGAGGAAGCAGGTCATTGGGGTTTGTGTTCTTGGGAATTATGTCTTATCCCCCTGCCCCGCCCCACTTTCTAGCTACCATCAGAGCTGTTGAGCAGCCTTCCTCTGCCTTGCCCTTTACCATGATCTCCCACCATGATATTTGGTCTCGGCTTAGGCCCAGAGCAGTGGCATGGGCTCACCATGAACTGAACCTTCGAAACCTCCTGCCCAAATTAACTTTCCCTCCTGTAAGTTGTTCTTGGCAAGTACATTGGTCACAGCAACAAAAACTGACCTAACATGGGGCATATTTTGAGAAAAGTGTTCTGAGGAGATTGTCCTCATCATCATTATAAGCATTTTAGAGTGTGTTTACACAAACATGGTGTCATCTACCGAGCATTGCTATGTGACATATGACTGTACAAGTTGAAGTTTGTTCCAAACACTTTTCCTCAGGGAAAATAGTAGAGAGTGTTCTAAGAAATTAGATACTTCTATTAATATTTCATTTTTAAATTAATTTTTTTATTTTTTGTATTTTTTAAAAGCAGACTTTATTTTTTAATAGATGTTTTAAGTTCTTAACAAAATTGATGTCATATATTGGAGTCACACAGCATATGTCTTTCAGATTGACTTCCCTTATTTAACAATTTGCATTATGGCTTGATGTGTTTAGTTATATAACATCAAAGGGATTGTACCATTTGCATTCCTACCAACTGGGAATGCAAGTTCCTGTTGTTCTGCATCCTCAGCAACATTTGGTGGTGTCATTCTTTTGGCTTTTGGCCATTCTCTTGGTGTTTTGTGGTATCTCACTGTTTTAATTGCAATTCTCTAAGCTGTATGATGTTGACTATCTTTTTGTATGCCTATTTGCCTATTTGCCAACAGTGTATCTAATTTGGTGAGGTGTCAATTCGGGTCTTTGATCATCTTTTAATTGTATTGTTTCTTTTCTTTCTTCCCCCCCCCCCACCCTGTACTGGAAATTGTATAAATTGTATACACAGGAGTGCTTAACCACTTAACATCTGCACCTCTTTTTAAAATTTTATTTAGAGGCAGGATCTGCCCGAGTTGCTTAGGATCTCACTAAGTTGCTGAGGCTGGCTTTGAACTTTCAATCCTCCTGTCTCAGCCTCCTGAGCCATTGGGATTACAGACATGCTCCACCATGCCTGGTGGATTGTTCATTTTCTTGAATATTTTTTTTTGGAAATTTTTAATTTTCCATTTTTAATTTATATGTAATGATTGTACATATCTATGCTGCATTCTGTAGTGTTTCCATACATGTATACAGTATGTAATGGTCAAGCTTGAGTCATTAGTATATCTATTACTTCAAACATTTATTATTTTTTTGTGGTGAGAACATTCAAAATTCTTGCTTCTAGCTGTTTTGAAATATATGATATATTATTGTTACCACAACGTGCAGTAGAACCCTAGAACCTGTTCCTCTGTCTGTAACTTTGTACTTTTATTCACATACCCATTCCCTCCACCTTTTTCCAGCCTCTGGTAACCATCATTTTTTTTTTCCTACTTTTATGAGATCCACTGTTTTAGATTCATAAATGAGGGAGCTCATATGATATTTATTTTTTTGTGTATGGCTTGTTTCATTTAATATAATGCCCTCCAGGCTTATCCATATTGCTACAAATGGCAGGATTTCATTCTTTATGGCTGAATAGTATTGTGTTGTGTAAACAAACCACCTTTTCTTTATCTGTTGGTGGACGTTTAGGTTGATTCCATATCTTGGCTATTGTGAATGATGCTGCAATGAATGTGGGACTGCAGGTGTCTCTTCAACATACCAATTTCATTTCCTTTATCTGTGTACCTTGTAGTAGAATTGCTGGATCATATGGTAGTTTTGTTTCTAGTTTTTTGAGCAACCTCCATACTGTTTTCCATAATAGTTATGCTAATTTACAGCCCCACCAATAGTGTAGAAGTCCCTTTTCTTCCTATCTTTACTAGCACTTGTTGTCTTTTGTTTTTTGGCTAATAGTCATTCTTACTAGAGTGAGGTGATATCTCATGATTTTGATTTGACAGATTATTAATGATGTTCAGCATTTTTTAATATATATACCTGTTAGTCATTGTATGTCTATTTTTTTTATTTTTTTTTTAAATTTTGAGACACAGTCTCACGGTTTTGTCCAGGCTGACCTTGAACTTGTGATTCTCCTGTCTCAGTCTCCTGAGTAGCTGGGTGTATGGGCAAGCACCACCATACTCACATTGTATGTCGTCTTTGGAAAAGACCTATCTCTTTAGGTCTATTGACCATAAGGATTTTTTTGCTATTAAAATACTTGAATTATTTATATATTCTGGATATTAACCCATTGTTACATGCCTACTTTGTAAATATTTTCTCCCATTCTATAGGTTGTCTTCATTGTATTGATTATTTTCTTTGCTGTGTAGAAGCCTTTTGGTTTGATATAATCCCCTTTGTTCATTTTTGGGTTTGTTCCTGTGCTTTGCAGGTCATATCCAAAAAAGTTACTGCCCAAACCAATGCCATGAAACATTTCTCCTATGTTTTCTTCCAGTAGTTTTATGGTTTGGGGTCTTAACATTTAAATCTTCAACTTGTTTTTGAGTTGATTTTTGTACATAATGAGAGTTAGGGTTCTAGTTTTCATTTTTCCACAGATGAATATCCAGTTTTCTCAACACCATTTGTTGAAGATGTTGTCCTTTTCCCAATGTGTATTCTTGGAACCTTTGTCAAAATGAGTTAATTTTTTAATGTGCAGATTTATTCATGGGATCTCTGTTTTGTTGCATTGGCCTGCATGTCTGTTTTTATGCTGGTACCATTGGTGATGTGT